CGGCGTCAACTATTTCGAGTCGCTAAATTCAGTTTAAATTCATCTCTCCTTTTATTATTTATAATTTTATCTGTGGTTTTATTGTTCTTGTTTTGATTGTAAAGTGTCCTTGAGTGTTTTGAAAGGCGCTTATAAATGTAATGTATTATTATTATTATTACATCACAGTAGATTGAATCTTTTAATCATCTTTTCTTCTTTTTTAAAATCAATTTCGCTTGGCAAAAGACCATAAAACCCATTCAGAAGTACTAAATTTGAAATGAAATATATACAGTAATTGTGTTTGAAATTGCCCCACTAAAAATGTTTCAAGGCAGCAAAATGCAGTTCGCTGCTATCCATAATGTAAATTTACAAAATCCAAAAAATATTTAAAAGAAAAACAAAACTCATTTGTTGTATTGTTGATAAAATCCTTCCTTCAGGTTCCTGGGATTAACTGTCAAAAAATGATTAGAAAGTTACTCCTCGAATGAAGGCATTGATTTCATTTCACTGAGTCATTTTAATGAGTCATTGATTTGCTCTACAAAATTTTAAAAAAGTTATTTTTAGCCCTGAAGTGAACATTAGTGAGTCGGACTGGGTTCTGCATGGCATCTTCCCCTCCGAACATGTAGATCCTCTGGTTGGTGGCAGCCACAGCAGGGTGAAGAACAGCCTCTGGCATGGGGGCCATAGACTCCCATTGGTTGAACATGCTGTTGTATCTAAAAGCATTGTAAAAAGTGATGATATTGTGAGTCGCTGCGCCAACTATTTAATGCCACAAAATTCTCCCGCCTCATGTTACCGTTCCACGCTGTCTGTCAGGTGCCTGTCGAACCCGAGCCCCCCCAGGATGAAGATAAAGTGTAGGTAGGAGACACTCTGGTGGCTAAAACGAGGCTCCAGAATGGGCTGGGCCAGCCGCCACTCGTTAGTCTTGAATGAGAGGGTGTAGACGGTTGTGCAGACTTCGCAGTATTTGGCATTGGTATTCAGGCGTCCAATAACATACACCACACTGTGAAGGGCCGCATAGGAAGCTTTGTACAGTCTGATAGGAAGTTTGGCCAGACGCTTCCACTCCTGGCTCTTCTCTTGAGCTTTGCTCATTGTTCTTCCTTCCTCCTACCACCACCAGATTGTCATGGTTAGGTGCCGCGCCTCAGTGCAACCCACACAGGTTCAAAGTCACCTGTCAAACCCCCCAAATATTTGATGCTGACAGAAAACATGAGACGTCGAACTGATTCAATGAGCTCGATGCAGAGGGCGGATGACTGAATCAGAGGGTCGCTGGCGATGAACTGGAACAGGTAGGTGGGGTGAACATGGCGAAGGCGCACTTTCTTGAAAAGTGCATTGATGGCGCCGCATCTAGTTAAGGGGTCATGGTGGATCCAAGCAACAAGCGTATCAAAGACTTGCTCCTCCTCTGCGCAGAGACGATCATCCTCCAGGTAGCCCGTCAGCTCCGGTAAGGACAGCTCACACAGATCCTCCGAATGAAACACATCACTGAAGCGCTTCATAGCCATATCCTTTGCCTTTTCTCTCAGAGTGTTACAGTTCATGAGCTCTGAAAGCCTTATCAGGCTCAAGCAGTTGTCAGGGCTCAGCTGATTCTGAAAAAAAACTGGAGCAGGCCTCGAAAAGACGAACATACTGCAGCATAGATGTGGCCTGCATGAGAGGCAGCACATTATCCATGCTGATATGAGCCAGGCCGGTGTAAACGTAGTCAATGATAGTGTTCAAGATGGCTGACGTTAGGCCCTGCAGCTTGATCCTGGTCTGCCGCCTCTCTATGAAGTTGTTACAGAACATAGCTCTGAAGTAGGGACTGCTGGAGACCAGAACATTGCGGTGGTAGGGGATCTCTGTGTTTTCGGAACACAATAAAACATCTGTGAGAATGTTCTCATGTCTGAGGCTATTGAGATGGAGGAGGAGGTTGGATGACTGCTCTTTATCTTTGTAGTGGAACACCTCCATTGCTGGTCAGTTCATCCTGAGGAGATACACATCGTAAATTCTCAGTTTTCAGGGAGAAAATAACTCACTTTGTCTGTGTATTTGCGCCATTGATGGTGCATGCAGCAAATTCAGCAGATTCTTTCATCTGACTTCTTCGGCATGGGTTCGGTTCCTGTTCAGTTCAGTTCTCAGTGATGGTGTGAATTTGAGAATGAATAACTGTCTGTCTCTATATCAATTAATCAATCAAACTTTATTTATATAGCACTTCTCATACATAAAAATGCAACTCAAAGTGCTGTACAATGCTTTAAAGCATTTCAAACTTACAACATTAAAAAAAAAAAAAAAAAAAAAAAAAAACATTGAAAAAAAATGTGCCCTGACTGACTAGTGACTGGTCCAGGGTGTAGTCAACCTTTCACCGAAAGTCATCTGGGATAGGTGGGAACTTCCCTGTGATGCTGGAGAGGATAAGTGTTATAGAAAATGGCTGGCTGTCTGTCTGGATGGATGGACTTTTCCATTGTTTCATGCTGTTATATAGGCTTGCGCAGCATCAAGCGTTATTCTCCATCCCCACAAATCATTCATTCCATTCACCGACACAATAATGTACACTGACAATGTTTATCAATTAGCAATAGTAGTCCTGACATATTCATGAAAAAGGTGCCTCACTGACATAAATACCGCAGATTTTAAGTGTTCAATGTCACTCTGCTGTTTGTACCTGTCTTATCTTTTGGCTGACTACTTGTCTGAGCATTTAATCTCCTGAAATTTTTGTCATGTGGCCTCTACCATCTGACAGTGTTTTATGTATCTCTTGTTTCATTTTTTTCCCTCTCGTTCTCCATCATATCAGGAACATCTGGAGCCCTTAAAGCACTCAAGATCTGGCCCACTACATCATTTTCGGTGGCCCTCAAAAGCAAATCAAAGATGTCAACTTTCAGAGTGCTTGCTAAAATCGCTACCAATATTTCAAATTCTCATTTGTAATAAATAAGAGTGATACTGTAAGCAGTGTCTTGTTACCAAACCCCTCATTACAGCAACTTAAACACTAGGTGAATAAACCGTTATTCTTGACTTCTTTATATGGTTTCAGTCATAACGGCCCTCCAAGGGAAACTGTAACTAAAATCAGGCCTGCGATAAAAATGAGTTTGGCATCCCTGCCCTAAAGTGAGATGAAAGGATTTATTTGTTTTTTTTTTTTTTTTGCAAGGGAATGGTTTTTAAACAGTGGCGGGCCGTGCATTTCAACCTTAGGCCTTCAGTGACGTCACATACATACACAATATAGGCTCGTCAAGCAGCACTTAATTTCAGGAGCATTTAAAACCATCAAGTATGCATTCACAATTAAGAGCAGGAAACTAAATTTACAGATAGTCAAAAATAAAAAGATGATTTAAAAATACGAAATAAAATGCCACCCAAATTACGCTGTGTGATCTTAAACAAGTCTGTCCAATAAATTGCGCAATGTCGCAGTTTCATATAAGACACCAACCAAACAATAACAAAACAAACTATTCTTTGAAAATAAACAGATCATTTGCATTTTGAAAATCGGCAATTCAACAGCAAATAACTGAAAATGTTGAGCAGCTGAGATTGAACGAACTTTCGTGCACGAAGGTGACTACAATGCGCCATTATAAATTGCAGGTGAGCAGATTTATTTGATA